TCTTCATCCTGAAAAGTTAACCCACATTCTATCACTTACCTTACCATTAACTCCGAAGATACTCATCATCACTTTCATTCATCCCATGAATGAAAAGTGACTCCATAACTGACCCCACAGACCTCCATCATTCACAACACAGACCCCATCATTCACCCTACTAACCCCGTACTACTCACCCCCTAAATCTTCATTCCCTCCAAAAAACCCAAAACATATTCCAAAAGTCTCCCTATCACTCATCCTACCAATTCTCATCACCGACCCCATAGACCCACTACTCATCCTCTTTATTCATCAGTAACCCTACAAACTCCCCATCATCATACCACAGAGCTGCCCAATCACTTAACCCCAGGATTCCATGCCTCAGCTCAGTCATTCACCATTCACCACCTATACCTCACTTCCCATCTACAGACACCACCATCCACCACTCTGACCATTGATTAGTTATTCCAAAGACCTCTATTCACTTCAGATTCCCATCATTCTCCCCATAGATTTCCCCATCATTCACACCACAGATACCCCTCCCTCACCAAACCAACCTTCATCTCTGATTCTGAAGACCGTACTACTCACCCCAGCCTCTGACACTAACCTTATGGGCCCTTAGTTATAAAATCAATTGGCTACTTGAGTTTTGAAAACATGGCAAAGAATGAGTAACATGACAAATCCACCGACTGGATTTAGATGACTTGTGTAGAGCATGACTTCAAATTCTTTGAGAAGTAGAAAGACAGAGAGCTAACACCCTCTGCTTCACACTCCAAATGCCTGCAATGGACCACATCAGGGCCAAAGTAACAGGTCAGGAACTCAACTCAAGTCTACATTTGTAACAGGAATCCAATTACTTAAACAATCACTGCTTCCAGGGCCTATATTTGCAGGAAGCTACAGTCAGCAGCTGGAACCAGGCATCAAAACCAACTACTCTGACAGCAGATACAGACATCTCAATCATTTTTAAACTCCCGTTTAAATTCTGACTCTGATTTCAAGCCTGTAGTATAGCTTTAGAGAGATGACTCGTTGTTAACAACAAATTCTTATCTGCTCTCCCCTTATTTCTTATCATCACTCACTTCATAGTTTATTTTACTTAAAGGCATACTGACCTACTTGCTCTTCCTCAAACATGCCAAACATAGCCCTGCCTTCTGCTCACTGCACTGCCTATTTTCTGTGCTGCTTACTACTCCTTTGACCTTGAGCTTGTTTCTTCCTGGTCTTCATTGCTCTCATATAAAAAGCTAAAAACAAATCGTACCTCATAGAATTTTTTTGCAGATTAAACATGAATATATGTACAATTTCTAGCATAAAGATTTATTTATTTTTATTGGAAAGGTGGATTAGATGTATAGACAGCAGAGACAGAAAGAACTAACATCTGCTGCTTTACCCCCCAAATGGTCGAAATGGCCAGAGCTGAGCCAATCCAAAGCCAGGAATCAGGAGCTTCTTCTGGTTCTCCACTTGGGTGCAGGGTCCCAAGGCTTTGGGTCATCCTCTATTGCTTTCCCAAGCCATAAGCAGGGAGCTGGATGGGAAGTGGTGTAGCCAAGAAACAAATCAGCACCCTTAGGAGATGCTGGCACAGCAGAGTGGAAGATTAATATGTTGAGCCACTGCGCCTGCTGGCCCTTCAGCATCTTTCTATCCCAGGCTCTCTCCACAACCAAGGCAGAGGCATTTGACCACATCATATGCCTGTTTAAAACCTTTACCAGACTGTTATCAGGATAAACTCTAAGCTACAGGCCAATGATTTGTTCATCGCATCCTGTGACACCTTAAAAAGAGAAGCCAATTCTCAAATCTACAGTACCATAGTTACTTTTGACTCTGTACATATGGCATGAAGACAGATATGCCAATAACCCTCTTCTGACCTTTTGCCCCTGTCCTAACATTCAAAGAAAATTCACTATTATTTCATACTTTCCAAAAAACTAGAGATGTGTTTTTAATATTACTACCAAGAAAACAAAGTTTGAAAGATATTAAAATGGAATTTCTGATTTCTCTACAAAGTCAACCACAAAAACAACATTACGATGGCTGCAGTTTGCTCAAAAAGATAGCAAAGTATCTCTGAGCTTCATATTGTATTTTGACAGTGTATAGGTTCTGTTTTAAATCTTTTTTATTTATTTGTAAGTTAGGGCCCTGCGCAGGGGCCTAGCAGCTAAAGTCCTTGCTTTGTATGCGCTGGGATCCCATATGAGTGCTGGTTCTAATCCCGGCTGCTCGACTTCCCATCCAGCTCCCTGCTTGTGGCCTGGGAAAGCAGTGGAGGACGGCCCAAAGCCTTGGGACCCTGCACCTGCGTGGAAGACCTGGAAGAAGCTCCTGTCTCCTAGCTTTGGATCAACTCAGCTCCGGTCATTGCGAGAGTGAGTCATCGGACAGAAGATCTTCCTCTCTGTCCTCCTCTCTTTGCAATAAAAATAAATAAATTAAAAGTGGGGGGTTGGCTAAAAAAAAAAAAAAAAAAAAAACCAAGAAAGAAAAGAGTTACAGAGAATTCTCTCATCCACTGGTTTATTCCCTAAATAGGTACAATGTCTGAAACTGAGCTGATCCTACAAAGTCAGGAACCTGGAGCTGCTTCCGGGTCACCCACATGGGTGCAGGGCCCTGGGAACTAGGAGCCATCCTCCACTGCTCTCCCAAGCCACAATCAGGAAGCTGGAATGGGAAGTGAGGCAGCCAGGACTGAGACCCAGGACTCAAACCAGTGCGGTTGGCAGCTTAGCCTGATGTAGCCCTGTCATCTCCACAGGCCACAGTTTACCTCACTGATAGAACTTCAAAGAATGCCATTTGGAAGAATGTACTTAGGAGAGCCTACATTGCTATAGGTTACAAACCTGGGATTTCTGTTGATTTAGGGACTGACTCAAAAGACTTACTGCTTGTGAATGACTTTCTCAAAATAGCAACCACCCTCCCCACCCCTCAGCAACCAACTCCGTACAGCTCAAGCACAAGCTGACCTAGCCTAAACGCATTCAATGTGAGTAATGAATACAGCCTATCAGAAATTATTTAAAACAAGTCACTATACTTCACCTCATTGTATCTGTCTTCCCCTTTATTTTTTTTAAAAATTTAATTTTTATTGGAAAGTCAGATATACAGATAGACAGGAAGAGAGACAGAAAGGAAGATCTTCCATTTGATGATTCACTCCCTATGCAGCCACAATAGCTGGAGTTGAGCCAATCCGAAGCCAGGGGCCAGGAGCCTCTTCCAGGTCTCCCTTGTGGGTGCAGGGTCTGGGCCATCCTCGACTGCTTTCCCAGGCCACAAGCAGGGAGCTGGATGGGAAATGGGGCCACCGGGATTAGAACCGGTGCCCATATGGGATCCTGGTGTATGCAAGGTGAGGACCTTAGCCACTAGGCTCCTGTACTGGGTCCCCTTTTCCCCTTTAAAAATCAAGTCTTTTTGATCCTTGAATTAATGCTTGCTTTGGTTGTTACTGAGCATTTGTCTCTCAATTTATAAATCTATTCTCTACTTGAATAAAATTTGTCTTTCCTCCCAGTTGAACCTAACCTATGATTTTGGGTAACAAAGTCCACGCATCTGATGACCCTTGTTAGAAACAGTATTTGTAAAGTCAACTTGTATTTTGTCCAAACTACATTTGTTTAATGTTGTGCAACAAAATGGGAGGAATGTCTTCTAATATTTTGCAATAAATGTTTCTCAACAGTCTAAGATACGTTCAAAAATTCAGCAAACTTATGTGTGTATGCGTATTTGAAAGCTATGGCGAAAGAGGGAGAAGAGATAGTGATCTGCCTCCACTGGTTCACTCCCCAAAGGCTGGCAAGCAAGGTGTGGGCTGGGCTGAAGCCAGGGGCCACGAGCTCCACTGAGGTCTCCAAGGTAGGTGCTAGGGACCCAAGTACGTGGGCCCTCATCCACTGGCTCCCCGGCTGCACTAAGCAGAAGCAGCCGGCCTGGAAGCATGCCCTGTGATACAAGATGTGGGTGTCCCAAGCAGAGCCACAATGCCCATGCCCATTGTACAGACATTTCATGAACACACACGGCTTTAGTAATAGAACTGACTTCAACTTCAGTGTTAGAAGATGAAATAAGACAAAGGCCTCCTGAGAGCATAAAAATGACTTTGGGGAGGGGACATTAATTAACTATAACAAGCATATACACAGTGTCAGAATCAGACCAGAGTAATGGTTCAACTGGGTAATCCTCTCCCTCCTTAAACGTCAGGGGTGGGTGCCAGTTGTGTCCTGGCTGCTCCACTTCCCATCCAGCTCCCTGCTTGTGGCCTGGGAAAGCAGTCGAGAATGGTCCAAAGCTTTGGGACCCTGCACTTGCGTGGGAGACCCGGAAGAAGCTCCTGGCTCCTGGCTTCTGATCCTCGTAGCTCCGGCCTTTGCGGTCATTTGGGGAGTGAAACCACAAATGGAAGATCTTCCTCTGTAGCTCTCCTTCTGTCTGTAAATCTGCCTTTCCAATGAAAATAAATAAATCTTTGGGGGAAAAAATGCATAAATTGTAAGAATCATAATTGTACAATTATGTGAATTTTTATAATGTGTAAATAATACTTATAAAAGGCTAACATATTTTTTCATGTTCATCAGGTTCATTTGAAATATAGCACACAGGTATTTGAAATAGATGACATCATTTCTCAGCAGGGGAGCGAGGCCACTGGGGGCGGGGTGCGGCATGAACGCTGACATCAACAGCAGCAACTCCTGCCCATTTCGCTCGCCAGCTTGTCCAGTTCAACACTCACCTACGTAAATCAGGAGCTAAACTGCCAAAACAACGAAACCGCGGAACGAGGGCGGGCGGAACTTCACTTCGCGCCTGCGCAGTGACGGAAGCGAAGCAAAATACCCGGATTTGGGGGCGGGACACCTGGCAACAGCAAACTTGGCGCATGAGCGGAGCTGACCTCCCTCCGGGGCCAGATGGGAGGGGCTGTGGTAGGAAGAATTGTGTGGCGCCCTCTGCGCCTGCGCCCCGGTGCAAGGTGGGGCAGCGGGCGCCCGCACTGTAGGGTGTGCGCAGAGGTGGGGGGCTACGAGCAGCTGTCACACTAAGGGACGGTCGCGGGATGGCGACGACCTCCGGGTCCTCGGACTTGGTCGGCTCCGGAGCGCCCCCGCCTGGCGGGGGAGCCCAGGCAGCAGCGGTAGCGGAGGACGAGGAGCGAGAGGTGGTACGGGTCCGAGTCAAGGTGAGGTTTAGAGTGGCCTGGCCGGTCGGCCAACCGCTCTGGATGTCTCAGGAGATGGGAAGGTGGAGATGGTTGTAGACCACAGCACCTAGTAATGCGGTGGCTGGAGGGAAAGCTTCAAGGTGTGGTGCCTTACGGAAATATGTTAGAACCTGGGGGCATAAAAAGGAGTGCCGGCGGCCTAGGGAAGAAGGAGGTGGGGTTTCTGAGTAGATGGGCGGGACTGTAAGGTTGAGGGAGGGGCCCAAGGAAGGAGGGGTATGCTGTTGTCCCATGAAGTCAGTGAACACGTGTGTGCTGAGTGCACTTTTGTGCAAATCCCCACCCTCGGTGAGCTGGCATGCTGGTGGGGAGGGACTTATTGTTAAAGCAGTGGCATGCTTGGGAGACTGCTTAGTGCCATGAAGAAATAATGCGGACGTTAGCGAGCTAGGAGGTTCCTTTGGCCAAGATGGTAGCGGTAGAACCTCCCCTCCTGCCCCCGGCAGCTATCGTCAGTACACAAAGGAGTCAGCCATGTGTATGTCGGATACGGAAGAGTATTCGTTTCAGAGGGAACAGCAGAGGCAGAGGTTAAGAGGAGAGGTGGGCTATGCTTGGCATGCCTCTGTGCGTCGGCTTGTTGCTGGGGCAGAGTGTGCGAAGCGTGGTGGGAGGTGAAAGCGAGAGGTGAAAGGGCAAGTGGCAGAGCCTTGGTGTATGCTCTGAGGAACAAAGCTGCTGGTGGTGGTTCCAGCGAGCAGCAGGCCTTGCTTAGACTGGGGTGGTGGCTGTGGCAGCAGCTGGGAAAAGGTCAATGTTCCAGACAGGGGCATCAGCAGAAACAAAGGCCCGGAGCTAGGATGTGTTTGAGATAACTTTCAACCACCTGAACCTATGTGAATATAGTTTAAAAGCTAGAGGGAGGGCCCGACGCAGAAGCCTAGTGGCTAAAGTCCTCTCCTTGCACGTGCTGGAATCCCATTTGGGTGCCTGTATGTGTCCTGGCTGTTCCACTTCCCCATCCAGCTCCCTACTTGTGGCCTGGGAAAGCAGAGGAGGACGGCCCAAAGCCTTGGGACCCTGTAGCCATGTGAGAGACCCAAAAGAGGCTCCCGGATCCTGGCTTCAGATCGGCTCAGCTCCGGCTGTTGAAGCCATTTGGGGAGTTAACCGATGGAACACCTTCCTCTCTATCTCTCCTCTTTGTATCTCTGACTTTCCAATCAAAAAATCTTAAAAACAAAACAAAACAAAAAAGCTGGAGGGAGACCAGTCAGGGCCCTGTGGATCTAGCTGCTCGGGACCTAGGGATGTCATCGAACAGGTTTTTGATTTTTTTCATTACTTTTTTTTTAAAAAAAGATTTATTTGTTTATTTGAAGGATTTGCAGACAGAGAGAGTCAACGAGATACAGTTCTTTCATCCTCTGGTTCACTCCCCAGGTGGCTGTCATGGCCAAGGCTGGGGTCGGAAGTTTCTCCTCGCTCTCCCTTGTGGGTGGCAGGATCCTAAGCCCTTGGGTTATTTTCTGCTGCTTTTCCCCAGGCCATTAGCAGGAAGCTGAGATAGAAGTGGAGAAGTCAGGACTTGAACTGGCGCCTATGTGGCATGTTGGCATCACAGGCAGTGACTTTGGCTGTTACATCGCACTGCCAGACCCCCACACAGCAGGGGAATGTTGGTATAGATGTGCTCTTGTTATAGCTGCACTCGATTGGTTGCAGCTTGAAGGATCATTTTTTTTTTAAAGATTTATTTTATTTTTATTACAAAGTCAGATATACAGAGAGGAGGAAAGACAGAGAAGAAAATCTTCCGTCCGATGATTCACTCCCCAAGCGGCCACAATGGCTGGAGCTGAGCCAATCTGAAGCCAGGAGTCTCTTCTGGGTCTCCCCCGCAGGTGCAGGCTCCCAAGGCTTTGGGCCGTCTTCAACTACTTTCCCAGGCCACAAGCAGGGAGCAGGATGGGAAATAGGCAGTTGGGATTAGAACCGGTGCCCATATAGGATCCCAGCGCATTCAAGGTGAGGACTTTAGTCGCCAGGCTATTGTGCCAGGCCCAAAGAGGAGGACCAATTTTCTAAGGGGCAAGACTGGATGTGGAGATTTGAACCAGCGTGGTTGAAGGGATACTGAGGAAGATTGGGCACCTGGACTATTAAAAGAGCTTCCTCCTTGGTCCCCTTTAGCCGGAGTCCAGCTCCAGCTGAGTTTGGACTCGAGAAGGGTGCGTGGATGAGGCGTAAAGAGGAAAGAAATGGACCACTAAGATTTCTTGATCATAATGAACAATGCGACAAAGCTGTCCGCTTTATTTGTACAGAAACAGTCAAACTCTGGCTCACTCTTTTTGCATCATGGTCAAGTGGGTGTTAATAAGGATAATTCTGCCATTTGTTTCACCTAAAAACTCTAGAAGTTTCTGCTACAGTTCTTATCCTACAACTCAATCTTGTATCACAAAGAAAAGGAAAACGTAAAGATCAAGGAAAGAATGAAGTCCTAAATGCAGGTCCCGTGATTAGCACAAGGTCAGTGGGGACAGCCAAGACAGTAGGAATAATAGAAGGCCCTTTTGCAAGACGTTATTATTGACATTAACCTCCAAGCTCATATTGAGTAAAAAAGCCAACTCCACAGTAGCAAACAATGCCTGGATGGAGTAGAATTCTTCTGCAAGGTGGTCCGGTGTCCACGCAAAGGAAGGTGGAGCTGCATTCAGGTGGTTGTAGAGACATCCGCTGGGCCCTGCCGTACAGTGGGAAGTTCCTTGCAGCCCTGCCTGCAATGGAACAATACTCTTCACACCTTCGTGTCCCCCCACATCCAATGCACGGACCCCAGCACCCTTTTCCCCTCACCCCTCCCCAACCCACACAGTATATGGAACAGTCAGAAGGATTCAGGAGGTATAGCAGGTTAAGCCTCCACCTGTGCTCTGGCATCCCATATGGCTGCCAGTTCATGTCGCAGCTGCTCCATTTCCCATGCAGCTCCCTGCTTGTGGCCTAAGAAAGCAGCAGAAGATGGCCAAAGTCTTGGGACCCTGCACCAGCGTGGGAGACCTGGAGGAAGCTCCTGGTTCCTGGCCTACCCAGCTCTGGCAATTACAGCCATCTAGGGAGTGAACCAGTGCATAGATCTTTCTTTGTATCTCCTTTTCTATCGATTCTGACTTTCAAATAAAAACAAATAGATCTTTTTGAAAAATCCTTAGTCAGGCCACAACCCTTCTCACTAAGAAGCCTCCTGTGGCTGCCCCTCACTCGGTAGACAAAAGCCTTCACCATGGCCCCAGATAGTTCGCCTTGATGTGGCCCTTGCCACCTCCCTGACCTCGTCTTCTGCCGCTGTGCACCTCCCATACTCTTCAGTTTGCTGAATGTAGTCCCACCTTCTCTCTGCAGAAACATGAAAATTTTTTGGCTCCCGAGTTTCGCTCTTTCGCCGTAGACCCCCAGATAACCTCGCTGGACGTGTTACAGCACATCCTCATTCGAGCCTTTGATTTGAACGGGTGAGTGGGGATGATACTGGAGCCTGGCCCCAGGAATGGCTGGCTCACTGTTGGGTAGTGTTCTGTTTGCTTGCTTTGCTCTTATGAATAGTCCCACCATGAACAGCACACATTAGCAGATCTCGGTGTATTGCAGAATGTCTAGTTTTAGGATAAGTTCCTACCAGTGCCATTTCTGAATGAAATGCCTATTTCCCAAGTGCTCTTCAGGCATATTTTCCCAATTTACAACTTCACCAGCAGAGTTATCCAAAGCCTGGGTCCCTGTCACCCTCAGGAACACTGATCATTAGAAAACATTGCAAACTTTGCCAGCCCAGTCTGAGGGTGGGGAGAAGTGTTTTGCCTCTTAGGAACAGGTGTGATAGTTATTTTGTTGTAATGGTTGTTGGGGAGGAATACATGCCCATAATAATAAATGGAAACAGGACAGAATTGATGAGCAGTTAGAATGTCTCCATGGTGACAGTGATTCTTGCGCAATGTGCCTCTTTGTACAGTTGCACAAGAATGTCTGGAAAAGAAATTCTTAGGTGTTATTTAACTTTGTTGCCTACGTTTCTTTGTTGTTATTGTGTCAAATAAAAGGCATCAGCCTTCTGGCTTTTTGAAAACAAGAGTTTATGGGAAATGGAGCCCATAAAGGTGGCTACTCTTTATTAGAAAGAAGAAACAGCCCCACACAGTTCGATGAAGTTCGTGCAAGGACTCAGTGTGCCAGTGAAAAACCAGCTTACACATGGGCTGCACAGTGAGGGCATGGCCGGGTCCTGCCTTTTTGCAGGCTGAACCAGATGACAGCATGGGTGTCCCCTGCACAGATGCAGCCTGCTCTTCACCTGCTGGTGATGGGAGGGACTACCTTAGGCTCTTCCTAGGAGCCTGAAGCTGCCTTTTTGAGGAGTAGTGTAACTGGTAGCTTTATTTAGTACAAAGTAAGAGGCTTCCCACTTCTTCCCCCTCAAGTACCAGATGGGAACAGCGTCTTTGCAATTTCCAGCGTACCCTGCAGGCATCATCAGCTGTGTATCTGCTTCTGTGTTTGGGCAGCAAGGTGGCTCTGAACAGTGTGACCTCAGGCAGCCCACAATCCTCGGCACAGTATCCAGGACACAGTGACTTGCAGCGCCTTCCGTGTTCCTCCTTTGTTCTGGAAACCAATTCTGAGGCTTTCCGCCTGCCGAGGCCCCGGAGAGTTCCATTCATATATCCTCTGTCCAGGAAGAAGAACTTCGGCATCAGCTACCTGGGTCGGGACCGGCTAGGCCAGGAAGCTTACCTCTCCCTCCTGTCGGATTGGGACCTCAGCACAGCCTTCGCCACTGCCTCCAAACCTTACCTACAGTTGCGGGTAGACATTCGACCTTCAGAGGACAGTGAGTACCCAATGCCTGCGACAGAATTCTGACTCCATGCTTGCAATCGACTTCTTTATGCAGTGGATGGGTAGCAAGGTATCCTGGGCATAGAGCCGGGCACGACAACTGAATCTGTTTCTTTACCTATAAAATATAGCTAATGGTGTTTCAGGGCCACTGGGAGAATGCAATTCATTTTCAAATGCCCAGAACAGTGTCTGGCTGCACAGTGGCTGCTCAGAAAGAGTTAGCTCTTGTACCAGTTCTCGTGTTGTACATTTAAAGCATATAGGCTAGTGGCAGATGTTATCTTCAAGTAATGCAATTTAGCAGTGTAGCTATAGGATTTTTGATTTAGTGATATTGTTATTTAACACAATGCTTATCAAAACACAACTGTTTTTATTCCTTCACTCACCCTGCCCCCGTAGTCATTTGTGCTCTTGCTCATTCATTTTTTTCCCTTGATCTCTCAGCCATTTTTTCTCATCTGTATTTTCCTACTGCTGCCCACATACTGGTTTCTGTGAGCATACAGAGACATTAAGACATGGTCGCAAAGATTTGATTCTGCTGCATACATTAGAGAATACTATTATACAGGTATTCATGTTCCTGGGTGTGTGGCTTGGGCGTTTTTGTGTTGCTATAACAGAATATCTGAGCTTAGGTAATGTACAAAGCCCAGAATTTTCTCTAGAACTGATGTGCCTGCAAAGCAACAGGTGATGCTTAAGGTCCTTGGGTTCCTGCCATCCATATCGGACACCAGGATGGAGTTCCTGGCCCCTGGCTTCAGCTTGGCCCAGCCTGGCTGTTGTAGCCAACTAAGAAGTGAACCAAGGGCCCAGTGCAGTAGCCTAGAGGCTAAAGTCCTCACCTTGAACATGTTGGGATCCCATATGGGTGCCAGTTCTAATCCTGGTGTCCCCGCTTCCCATCCTGCTCCCTGCTTGTGGCCTGGAAAAGCAGTTGAGGATGGACCAAAGCCCTGGGACCCTGCACTCACGTGGGAAACAAGGAAGAAGCTCTGGGCTCGTGGCTTTGGATTGGCTCAGCTCTGGTCATTGCAGCCACTTGGGGAGTGAACCATCAGACAGAGGATCTTCCTCTCTGTCTCTCCTCTCTGTATATCTGACTTTCCAATAAAAATAAATGTTGAAAAAAAGAAGTGAATCAGAGAATTGAAGATTTTCTCTCACTCTCTTTTTCTTTTCTATTTTTTTTAAAGATTTATTTTATTTTTATTGCAAAGTCAGATATACAGAGAGGAGAAAGATAGAGAGGAAAATCTTCTGTCTATTGATTCACTCCCCAAGTGACCTCAATGGCTGGTGTTGCGCCGTCTGACACCAGGAGCCAGGATCCTCCTCCAGGTCTCCCACGTGGGTGCAGGGTCCCAAGGCTTTGGGCCGTCCTTGACAGCTTTCCCAGGCCACAAGCAGGGAGCTGGATGGGAAGTGGGGACACCAGGACTAGAAACGGCGCCCATATGGGATCCTGGAGTGTTCAAAGCAAGGACTTCAGCCACTAGGCCACTACGCTAGGCCTGTAAATGTTTTGTTTTAAAGAAACGTCTGCCTGGCTAATGTGAAGAAAATTCCCACTGCAGGACATGTGTTGTAATGCAGCATCTCATATTAGAATGTCAGTTCAGGTGCCTGCTACTCGGTGTTTCTGATGCAGCCTCCTCTGTATCCAAGGCAGTGGAGGATACCCAAGAGCTTGGGTTTGTGCCACCGACATGGGAGATCCAGATGGAGTGAGCATTTGGGGAGTAAACCAGCAGACAGAAAAATCAGTCCGCCACTTTGTGTGTGTGTTTTGTTGTTGTTGCTTTTGTTTTTCTTTTTCACACTCCCAAGTAGATGAAAATAAATATTAAAAGACTTTATTAACTCCTAAACCAACTCCATGTTGTTTCAATCATCATAGCTTTGGAATTTTTAAAAGATTTGATTTATTTTTATTGGAAAGACAGATATACAAAAAGAAGCAGAGACAGAGAGAAAGATCTTCTGTCCACTAATTCATTCCCAAAGCAGCCGCAATAGCCAGAACTGCACTGATTTGAAGCCAGGAGCCCGGAGCCTCTTCTGGGTCTCCCATACTGGTAGAGGGTCATCCTGAACTGCTTTTCCAGGGTAGAAACAGGGAGCTGAATGGGAAGCGAGGTTGCTGGGATTAGAACTGGCGCCCATATGGGATCTTGGCACATGCAAGGCTAGAACTTTAGCCACTAGGCTACTGTGCCGGGCCCACTTTGATTTTTTTTAAAGGTTTATTTGTTCATTTGAAAGGCAGGGTGGGACCCGGGACTGTGGCCTAGCGGCTAAAGGTCCTCGCCTTGAACGCGCCAGGATCCCAAGTGGACACTGGTTCTAATCCCGGCAGCCCCACCAGCTCCCTGCTTGTGGCCTGGGAAAGCAGTCGAGGACAGCCCAAAGCCTTGGGACTCTGCACCTGCATGGGAGACCTGGAAGAAGCTCCTGGCTCCAGGCTTCAGATTGGTGCAGCACCGGCCATTGAGGTCACTTGGGGAGTGAATCATCGGACAGAAGATCTTCCTCTCTGTTCTTTCCTCCTCTCTGTATATTTGACTTTGCAATAAAAGGAAATAAATAAAATAAATCTGAAAGAAAAAAAAAGGAAGAAAGGCAGGGAGACAGAGAAAGGGGAGAAGCAGAGACAAAGAAAAACAGATTTCCAGCCCACTGGTTCACTTTGTAAATGACTGCTTAGCCAGGGCCAGGTTTAAGCTGGTTCAAAGCCTAGAACTCTGTTTTACATCTGCCATAAAAGTGTCAGGGGCTCAAGTGGCCCATCTTGTACCTTCCCACGTGCCTTAACAGGAAGCTGGACCAAAGGCGGAATATCTGGACCTTGAGCTGGTGCATGTGGGAGGCTGGTGGCGCAGGTGGCGGCTTAACTAACTGCATCCTAATGCTAGTCTCTGATTTGTTGTTCTACATTTTAAAATTTTTATTGAATTTGCTTGTATACTTTCTTTCCTTTAATAGAATTAGCTCATCATCCCATTAAAATCCTGATTATTTCCTTGGAGTTGCATTTCTTTTTTATTTTCATTTTTAGCAAGTGTGTGTGTTTTTTTTTTTAAATATATATAGTTTTATTTGAAATGCAGAGTTACACAGAGTGAAGGACAGAGGGATAGATCTTCCATCTGCTGATTCACTCATCAAATGGCTGCAACAGACAGAACTGAGCCAGTCTGAAGCCAGGAACCAGGAGCTTCTTATGAGTCTCCCACACAGGTGTGAGATCCCAGGGCTTTCGAGCATGCTCTCCTGTTTTCCCAGGCTGTAAGTACAGAGCTGGATCAGAGGCAGCTAGGACACAAAGCAGCACCCAAATGGGATGCTGGCACTTGAAGGTGGAAGATCAGCCTGTTGAGGTATTTCACCTGCCAAAGAAGATACTTTTTAATCACCCACTAAATACATTCTGCTTTATTAAAATGATAATAATAATAATAAAATTTCAGATAATGTGGAAATCTCTGGGACACAATGTGGCCTGGTCTCAAAAGTAGCTTGGTGTGTACACTGATGGACTTCTACATATTTCCACACTCACATATAGAGTAATCCACATATAGAGCCGCACAAGTATGTTTAGTAGATGTGGTGCATCACCTATTATTAAGCTAACATTGTATATGTGCAACTATAATTATAAATGTTATTTGTGGCATTCTTCTGATCATTTCATGACCCTGAAAGCAGTACGCATGTGGTGAGCCACTTGGGTGGACTGGTCCCTTCTCTGGGAAGTAGACCATTTCTGGCACCTCTGCCATTGGCAGAACAGTGAATCCTTTACTGTCATTGGCACTCCTTTCTTTCCATTTTTAGAAGGGGGCTTTATTTATGTGTTCTTGTTCATTTGGAATGCTGTGAAACAAAGAACAAAGACAGATAGCCCTTTCATCCACAGATTAACACCCTGAATACCCACATCAGCCAGGATGTGAAACCAGGAACCCAGAATACCACATAGGTCTCCCATATGAGTGACAGGGATCCAAGTACCTGAGTTGCCACCTGCTCCCTCCAGAATGAACCTTAGCAGGGAATTGGATGGGAAGCAGAAGAGTCCAGACTTGAACAAGGCACTCCAGGGGCCAGCGCTGTGGCACAGTGATTGACGCCACCCCCTGTAACATCATGATCCCATATCGGAACACTGATTCAAATCCCAGCTATTCTGCTTCCAGTCTGGCTTCCTGCTAATGTGCCTGGGAACACAGAGGATGACAGCCCAAATACTTTGAGCCCTGCTACCTACATGGAAGACCCGTGCAGAGTTCCAGGATCCTTGCTTAGTTCTGGCCCAACACCAATTATTGTAAGCATTTGGAAAGGGAACCATCAGATTAAAGAGATCCTTCTCCCTCTCCCTTTCCCTATACCTTTCAAATAAATAAATAAATAAATATTTTTTAAAAAGGCATTTCAAGGCCCAGCGCAGTAGCTTAGTGGCTAAAGTCCTTGCCTTGCATGTGCCATGATCTCATATGAGTGCCTGTTTGTGCCTTGGCTGCTCTATTTCCCATCCAGCTCCCTGCTTGTGGCCTGGGGAAGGCAATAGAGGACAGCCTTGGGACCCTGCACCCTCATGGGAGACTGGCAAGAGGCTCCTGGCTCCTGGCTTCAGATTGGCTCAGCTCCAGCCACTGTGGCCACTTGAGGCGTGAACCAGCAGATAGATCTTTCTCTGTCTCTCCTTCTCTCTGTAAATCTGACTTTCCAATAAAAAATAAATAAATCTTTATTTTAATAAAGCATTTCAGGGACCTACACCCAAGCACCATAACACCGCTAGAGGAAAACATACAGAACACCGTACAAGGAATAAGCATAGGCAAAGACTTCTTAGAGAAGAAAACCTAAGTACTGACAGTCAGAGCCAAAATAAACAAATGGGACTATATCAAACTAAGAAGCTTCTGTGCAGAAAGGTCAACAAAGTACAGAGGCAACTAACAAAATGGAAGA